CTCTAACAATTACATATCCTAAAAAATAAGCTCAATATTCATCAATCAAAGTTCCACAGAAAGGCATTCACAAGATCAGCAAACACAATATCAAGTTCAGTAATGATAAATATGTGCAATGCAATGGAATGCAATGTCAAGTATAGTGATGCATGTCTGACCTAATGATACACACCCGCTGTCTCTCAGTCCGGGACCCATGGGGGACATATCTGTCCATGCATCCATCGCATCCATCGCGGCGTGCGATACGACCCTCGATAATAGTAACCATCGCGGCGTGCGATACGTCCCTCGAAATATATTATCCATCACGGCACGCGATACGTCCCTCGAAATGGTACATCCTCTTTAATTTCTTATTCTTTCTCAATGCACATAACATTTGTCACAACCATGTCACAGAACAATGCAAATGACATGTTCACACAAATAATGAGGAGATGACCATTTTCATAACATTGCACAATTCACAACAACACAATCATATGATACACCATCAACAATGATTCAAAGAGCCTTTCAAACCATTCTCAACGCATCACACACAACAATTAATCACATTGCCTTTTATTACCCATTTTTCATCATTAGAATTAATCAATGTGGACAAGTCAACCCATCACCAATTCACATTACTCCCAAACACATATTACAAGGAAATACACGAATTCCATACACTTAACAAGGGTTTAGAAATCCACTTGCCTCAAATAATCGAACAATCACTCCGAGACTTGAGCCTTTCCTTTTCGTTGTACTTCCGACTCAAAGCAATCTATTCGCATTAATAATCACAATAAGATTTCGAAACTAACAACACCCACATTACTATAGGTCTAGCCTAGACCCAAAAACTCACTCAAATTTATAATCAATTTCTTAAATCTTGATGCCAATTAACATGTCAACTCTTTCAATTTTCTCCAAATTTTAAGCCTAGGATTAAATCTCAATATATCAAAATATGAATCATAGTGTGTTGATGAAGAAAGTCTTAAACATCAAATCCACGCTAAGCCTGAGAATTAGTAATTGACCGCGTAAGAGAGTGTGTCAATTCTGACAAATTCCCATTTCCCTCATCACCTAATCATTGTTATATGATTACCTCATAATTATTGTAACAATTTTCCATCAAATATTGTTTGCCCAATTCACAGAAACCACCAAAATATTGTGGCAGCCACATTAATTCAAAGTCACGTCTTCCCTTAACCCAAACTAAAATATAATTAAGTACATATATATAATTTAGCACTTCAATTCTATCCCTTAGTCCTCAATCAAATTTCATATATTTTGTTTGATAAAATATTTCACAAAATCCCAAACAACTTGCTACCCGGAAGAATTAAAACGCACACGATTGTTTTCATAACACCCACAATTCCATTCCTTTTCATTAACACTGTTACAATTCAATACCCACTATTCCTAATTCCAAAAACAATGTTAAATACATGTATATATATCATCTGCCAATTCCTTATTTCAAATCCCAATCTAAATTCAACTATAGCATATTAAGGATTTTTCCACTAACTTCTAACCACAAATTTTATATTACAAATATTCATAATTGCATTCAGTGACGGAAAATTGTGAATAAACTTACCAGAAGTCGGTGCCCTCTTGTCCGACGCCACTCAGGTAATTTTCTCCTCTTTTTATTGTCATTTTACTTCCCTAAATTATTCTAAAACTGCTAAATTCTTTTAACTTATTTCAGTGTATGGGCCAATTGGTAAGGGTATTAACTAACCATTAACCACCAATTAATAAAAATAATTATTTAATAAATACCCACTAACTAAATAACTGTAGTTATCAAATAAGTTCAAATTCTCAAAAATTACATTCCGGGTCATTACACCCACCACCACCCCAAAAAATAATTTTAAGTTTGTTTTTCAAAAATATTTTCAATTTCAAAATATCATTTTTTTTCACCCTACTATACCCCCCACCCACCCCTCTACCAGCACCCTCCATCCCCAAAAAAATTTTTAAGTTTGTTTTTAAAAAATATTTTCAACTTCAAAATTTTATTTTTTCACTTCAAAATCTTTTCCATTTTCCATGGAAAAGATTTTCCTTCATACCAAACACACCATTAGTGAAAATTTTTATTATGAGGCATGTCATGTCATACTTGTACGAGACATTGTTTGATTGACAAATGGACATGGATGAGACCCATTAGCCAAGCTAATAAAGGGCAATCTTTAAGTCCCTTTATCATTTTTTTTTTTTGGTTTTATGCCCCTTGTTCAATATATTGTGTTTTAATTTTTTTAAATATTTTTTTCTTCTTTAAGATTATGGTAATCAAATCTTTTAAGAATTTTATTTGTTGATCTAATTAGTTTATGCTTTTCTCTTTTTATGGACTGAATTTCGATTTAAATTTTACTATCATTATATAAGCTTTTAGTTTATTATTTTAATAATATTTTTTCTATTCTATGTTATTTATTATATTACAATAAATAGTTTTTTGAAATTTATTTTTTAGTTTATAAAATCAAGATATAAGTAGTTTTTTTAATCCTAACAATTAATTTTTTTAAAATTATAAATAAATTTTGTAAAATATCAAAAATTCTTTTAAGGAATAAATTATTAAAATTATTATTTATATTTATAATTTCTTAAGAATCGTGTAAGAAAAGTAGATAAACAAAATATTTATTAAATTTCACCTAGCTTGAGTTTTAAGAATAAAAATATCGTATAAATTGACGAAAATTATATGTATTTATGTTGGTGTTTATGGATGTTTTTCATTTTTGAATTTCATGACAATAGTATCAAAACTTATGTAATTGTTTGTCAAGATCATTGTTGTCCTTTCCGTTATATTTACTTATTGAAGAGTATTTGTGGATTGAAGTACTTTTGTAAAATTGTTGAGAGAAAAATAAAAGAACTTATTAAATTAATACCTTCTTTATTTTTCATATTAATAATCTACTTTTTCTTTTACAAATTTCTTAAGAAATAGAATATAGTTTTACTAATTTATACCTTAATATTTTTGGTAACTTTATAAATTTATTTATACTTTCAAAAACAATTAATTATTAGAATAAAATAAAAAATTTGTTATTAATTATATCTTTTTAAATTAAAAACTAATTTTATATAACCATTTTTAATAATATAAATAATTAATAACGAGATGGAAAAAAAAATCATAATGTTAGAAATAGAAGGAGTCAGGCAAGATTTTTTGGATTTCATATTTTTCATGAATAAAGTGATTTAAGTATGGAAGTACTCCCTTTGTCCCTAATTACTTGTCCACTTTTCTTTTTATAATTATCCCTAATTACTTGTCCATTTTGACAAATTAAGAAAGAACAATTTTCTTTTACCTATTATACCCTCAATTAGTTACTTTGAAAAAGGTAGAACTTTTTGAAAATCGTAAGTTTTTAATTCATCTACTTCATAATCAATAGGGGTAAAATGGTAAACTCACTATGTCAATAATTATTTTTTAATAGGTGTATCAATTCAAAAGTGGACAAATAATTAAGGACAGAGAATGAGTATAACATTTGGAACAATTGTTAGAAAAGAAACCAAAGGAAAAAAAAGTTTAAAAAAAGTAAGAAAGAGAATAAAAAACGTTAAAATGAAGAGAGAAAGAGGAGTTTGACCATTTTTCTGAAATGGATCCACTTGGCAAAATATAAATGGGCCTTCATACAATTTTTGTCTGTCATAGTGCCTCATGCCTGATAAATTTTTTCCTAATTTAATAGCGAAACACATATGCAGACCTTTAAACTTGTTCCTAAATTTCATTTTGGCACTCCAACTCAACCTTGTTCCATTTTAATTCTTTAACTCCAATTTTTATGTTTCATTTTGGCACTTCTAAGTGATGTGGCAGAGTGTGTGCATCACACTTTCTCTAAGAAAGTGAAAGACAAAGAAAAATATTTTTTAAAAAAATAATAAAAGATTAATCCTTTAACTCTATTTTTTTATGTACCATAAACACAAAAAAATTTAAAAAGTTGATGTTCATCCATTATTTTAAAAAAAGAAAGATATGACGTTCATTTTAAAAATGAAGAACATAAATAAAAATGAAGAAACTTTTTATCATCAATTTTTTTAGAGTTTCTGTACATTATTGTGTGAAAAATAATCGACAAAAGTGTGTCGATTTTCTTTTTAAAATAATTAATTAAATTAAATAACACTACATATTTTTTTTCATATCTAATCTATTTGGACTAACTCAAATAACAACTTTCTAAATGTTCATTGCTAATTAATAACACTATAAAAAATGTTGAAACTCGATAAACTTCGTTGGGTTGTCATTGATTTTCTTAAGAAAGTAAATCGACGCACTTTCGTTGGTTATTTTTCACGCAAAATACAGAGAAACTCTCAAAAAGAAATTGTTACTTTAAAAAAATAAATCAATGATCATCCGTCAATTTGAATTTTTTACAATAACTAACGGATGAACGACGATTTTAAAATGCAAAATTGCAGTTGAAGAGCATATATAGAAATAAAAAAAATCATAAAATTAGTATCTTGTGTTTAAATGATGCATAAAAAAATAGAGTTGAAGGGTTAATCTTTTATTATTTTTAAAAAAAATACTTTTTTTGTATTTCACTTTCTCTAAGAAAGTGAAGCACACACTCTGCCACATCACTTAGAATTGCCAAAATAAAATATAAAAATTGGAGTTAAAAAGTTAAAATGGAATAAAATTATGTTAAAGTGTCAAAATAAAATTTAGGAACAAGTTTAAGAATCATATGTGTTTGGCCTAATTTAATTGACAAAAAGAGGTGGGTTACGCAGGTAACTTTTTGGTGATACAAGGATTGAACCGCTAGAAGCTGGCGCCTTAATGTCGGTCTCCCTTCCTTTTTTCAAAACAATATTTTAGCCATCGTTGGAACTTTCTCAACTCTTCTTCTCCTCTCTACTTTCTTCTTCCTCCATAAGTATTTGCAGCTATGGAAACTGAAACTGCCACTGCACCTCAGCTGGCAGCTCTTGCTGACACAGATATCAATTGGGACAGGTTAACTCTTTCTTCATTTACTGATCTATTTAACAGCCATACACGTTTATTTAGGAAAATGAGTGCTGATATCCTTGCTCCATTATCTCCAAATTAAATACCTCGAAACTCATTTAAGCAACACTTTTAGTTTTCAATTACTATCCTTATTTTGACAAGTAACTTAAGTCTTTAAGTTCCAGAAACCTCACTTTCCTTGCAGGTTGGATAAAGCTAGATTTCATATAATAGGAGCTATTCTTTTCACTCTTCAGTCAGCGTTAATACATCCAACAGCAGTAGTGAAGACACGAATGCAAGTCGCTGGATCCGGACTTTCTCAAATGACTGGATTCTCTGTATTTAGACATATAATTAGGAGTGACGGCATCCCAGGCATCTTTAGAGGCTTCGGCACATCTGCTGTGGGATCATTGCCAGGTAGAGTCCTGGCTTTGACTTCACTTGAAGTATCAAAAGATATGATGCTGAAATATACACAAGGTCTTAATATGTCTGAACCAACTCGTGCGGCTCTAGCAAATGGCTTTGCTGGCATGGTCTCCAACTTACTCTCATGTGTCTACTTTGTGCCTCTCGATGTGGTGAGTGAAGCTGATTTCAACTAATTTACAATTTAACTTTGATGGGTTCAATCTTAAATGTTCTTATGTTTTAGCACATTGTACTTTTGAAATTGTGGATTCAACATTTGTTAGTATTTTAGTAAACATGTGTATATCTATGCTTCGTATACAAATGAACCCATCAAGTGTGTGGTGCATCCACCTCTGAGGGTATACGCTACTTTTAAGCGAAGTGAACTGTTTCTCTCAACATACATTAGCCGAGATGCTTTCTGTGAGTCCAATATTGCAGAAAGCATATTTAATATTTATATTTTTAAGCTCCACGTGTTGGGTATTAAGCTAATGTCTATTTATAAATTCATAAATCCAGAGAATAAGGACATCTTTCTTCTTGCTCTTTGCTTTAACTCTGCCCCACTGGTAGTCCATAAGTTCTTTTAAATTCTTATCTTATGCCTGTGATGTGATGTTTTTTAGCAAATGAAGTTCCTTAATTAGTTGAATTGTAATGCAATGCTGCCTTTATTTCTTATATGTTGTGAAAATGTTTTATGCTAAGAATGATTCTCTTCTGTTTCAGATTTGCCAGAGACTTATGGTACAGGGAATTCCAGGGACTAAGCCTTGTGCTGGTCCATTTGATGCTACACAAAAAGTACTAAAAGCTGAAGGAATTCGTGGTATTTATAGAGGATTTGGATTAACTGCTGTGACTCAGTCTCCTGCACAGGCAATTTGGTGGGGTGCCTATGGTGCTGCTCAGCACATCAGTTGGAGGTAAAAATTCTTCTTCTTACACGACCAAAACGATAGTTGCAGTCAGTTACCGAATTCCTTTTTTGTGAAATTGTTACCTCAGGAATCTCGGTTATAGTGACAACACGGACAAGAAACCGTCTCACATGCAGATAGTTGCGGTCCAGGCTACAGCTGGATTGGCAGCTGGTGCCTGTTCGTCAGTAATTACAACTCCCATAGATACTGTTAAAACACGACTTCAGGTAAAAACTTTATTTTTTTCTCAGTTGGATTGGTGAAGAAATAACTCAAATTTGGCAAGGCTATTCTCATGATTAGATTTGGTGGTGTGTCTTAAGGTTATCGATGATTATGGTGTTGGGAGACCTTCTGTACTAAAGACCACAAAAACGCTTCTCAGAGAAGATGGATGGAAAGGGTTCTATAGAGGCTTTGGACCTAGGTTCCTCAATATGTCTTTCTATGGAACAACAATGATCGTTACCTATGAGATCATCAGTAAGTTAACTTGCAGTTTCCCGGAGTTGGGATCTTTTTCTTCTACATTTTCATTTCTCTCCTCTTGTTGTTTTCATTTCTTTTTCTTTTGTTAACTTTCTACATAAGGTGATTTGAGTACAATTAACTAGCTACTAATGTGTCACGCCCCGAGCCTACACCCTGGGCGGGACTGGCACTCGGAGACCATTGCTGGCCCCCAAGCGAACCCTTGGCCTGGCTTTCTTAACTCAGCGGAAACTTAACTCAACAGAATAACTCAATGCCATGCAAAGACATAAATAACTTAACTGATGAAATCAAGCCAAAAAGGCAACTCTAGTCTCAAAATAGAATATTTACATAAATACATAGATGAGAGACTCTATACTAACTGACTGACTGTCTGTCTATGAAGCCTCTAACGTACTGAGATGGATGTTGGGACAGACCCCACAACATCCTAATGGCACAAAGCTAAAAGAACAAAACAATTGAGTCCTCCGGAAGCAAGGAGGCTCACCACTGACTCTAGAGTGCTCAGCTGGATCAACGGCGTGCAGGATGCTGATCCGGGGTACCTGTGTCTGCATCATCATAAGATGCAGGCCAACTGGCATCAGTACATTGAATGTACGAGTATGCGAGCTGGAAAGCTAAACCACACTTAAGCTTGAAAGAGTACAAGAGAACACTTACCTTGGCTCTGTTCAACTCATGAATAACTGAACTCAATATATAAGGCAATAAGACACATGCAATATATAAAGCTTGTAAAACTCTTAAAAACATGACGTACAAATCATATTTATGATAACATGAAAATACCATGCTTCCTCTCAAGGTCTACTTGTGCAATGCATGAATGAAGTCCCATACCCCCATCCATACTAAGCAGAACCCTCGAGGAACCAAGCTCTTTTTACTGTGGGAG